CAGGGGTGCTGTCATCACCCACTGTGCTCCAGGAAACCCTCAGTCCTGGCCTTGCCGGCGTTGGCCCACAGCATCCCAGTTTCCTCCTCAGCCAGACTCAGCAGCAGCTAGCTCAAATTCCCTGTTGCTGTGAAGATTAAATGAGTTATACTTGCTAAACTCTTAAAACAAGGCTTGTTGGTACATGGCAGATGCTCCATAAGGATTAACTGTTTTTATCAGCAGTGCGTCAAGAGCTTAGAACTGTGCTTGGCATACAGCAAGGGCTGTCTAAGTGTTTGCTATTTTTATTATGATCATTCATTTATTTAGTCAGTCAACAAACCTTTCCCACATGTCTTCACGCCAGGCAAGGCATGGGGCCTTGGGGAAGCTCGGAGCCTAGTAAAAAGCAGACAAATAAGCAAAAATGCAGCAGGAGGTGGGAATGTTGTGATCAAGAGACACCTGAGGAAGGTGGGGGTAAAGAGGAAGCTCTAATCTAGACTGGAGGGTGGGGGATGGCAAGAATAATAGCAGAGCTGTATTTTGAGGACTATATGACACACGTAAAGAACCTTGCAGAATGTCTGGTGCATAGTAGCTTCCTGGATGAGATAACTCTGGAGCCCCACCTTTTGTGAGATAGCCTGGTGAATTAGGGGAGAGAGCAGGAGTCAGACAGACAGACGGGTGTGCTAGGATCAGCGAGCAGCATGAGCAGCTGGAGCCCGAGGTGGCCACAGGCAAGCCCAGGGGCATAATTCAGCTTGGAACATCTACAGGCAGGTGCTGAAGGGCCTGAGTGCCAGACCATAGCATTTAGACTCACCCTCTAGGTCACACAGGTTTCAACCCCTAGTACCTGTAGGATTCCACTGAAAAATCACAAAAATTCCATCATCAAGTCAAATAAACTTGCAAGCCATACTTGCTATTGAGTCAGGCCCCTTGGAGAGTCAGTAAAGTCCATTAGCATATTAAAGGCTCTGAGAAGTCCTGCAGGAAAGAATGTGGTTGAACCTTGTCATTTATGAGACATGTATGACCTCAGAATCTTTTCGCCTCTAAAATCTACAGCCTCACACGGAGCTGGTGGCATTCCTAGGAACACAGACTGTGAAACAGCCATCATGAGAGGGAGATCTTTAAACATGTTCTGAGTCACATATCATGCCACGGTCTTAAGCATGCCATGGTCTGAGTTGCATATCAGAAAGCTAACTCCTTCATCAGAACAAGAAGCACAGACTGGAGGCCAGAGGACTGGTTGGGAAGCCATTGCAGAGACCAGGAGGAAGAATGGGGATCTGCAAAAGGGCCATGTGTCAAGGAAGAGGAGGATGGGGATCCAGGAGCCAAAAGGAGGTAGACTCACCCAGCACTGATGGCTGAATTTAACTGTTCTAATAATGGGAACTCCCAGAACCTGGGAGTCAGAACCAGGGGTTCTAGACTGGACCCCAGAGTTGAAGAGTGAGTGGCTGAGGCAAGCCACTCTTGCCCCTCAAGCCCAGTGGCCAGTTCTAACACAGAGGGGACGATGACAAGATGCTTTCCAGGGGACCCTTCACCACAGCCATGCTGACACCACCAGAGGCCGTGAGCTGTCTCTATGTCTGAGGCAGACAAGCTGGACCAGCGTCAGGGGTGACAGAGCCAATTGACATGCATTTATTAAGTGCCTACTGTATACTTGGCTGAGCACCATGCCCTGGGAGGGAGGGAAAAGGAGGTGTAAGGGTGCGTCAGGACCCATCCTTGGGTAACTCAGTCACTCCTGGTACTCACCTCTGTGTAGGAGAAAGGACTTTGGAGTCAGAAAACCGAGAGAGGCTGACCCAGCTCTGCCCCACCTGATGGACGGCCTGGAGCAACTTCCTCTCCGCTCTTATTAGTTTCCTAGGACTGCGCAACAAATGACCACAGCTGTGGCCCCTTGAAACAATAGAAATTCACTCTCTCGTGGTGCTGGAGGCTGGAAGTCCGGGCGTCGGCAGGGCCGTGCTCCCTCAGAAGGCTCTGGGGGAGGTCCTTCCAGCCTCTTCCACCTTCTGGTGGCTACAGGCGTCCCTGGGCTTGTGGCCGCGTCGCTCCAATGTCTGCCTCCTCCCACGGCCTTCTCTGTGTCTCAGATCTCCCTCTCCTTCTCTTATTAGGACATCAGTCATTGCATTTAGGGTGGGCCCTAAATTTTATCTTGAGATGATTTTATCTTGAGATCCTTGACTGGATTCCATCTGCAAAGATCCTATTTCCAAATAAGCCCCATTCACAGGTACCAGGGGTTAGTATTTGGACATATCTTTTGAGGGGACACTGTTCAATCCACTACACCCCTTCGTGCCTCATTTGAATAATGGACATCATAGCCGTAGTCTCTGTGGGTGGCTGGGAGGACTAAGAGAGGTAGCATGCATAAAATCCCTAACACAGCACCTGGAAAACTGGTTGCTATTGTTCATTCATCCATAAGTGGAAGGATGGTGACAGGTATGTGAGTCATGCCTGTTCTTCCAGCTTGAAACCTGTATGATGCTCTCACTTCTAAGCACTATGATTCTGGGCCACCAAAGCAGTCATTTTGGTGGCATATAGATTATGACGTAAATGTTGTTAATGTTCTAATGTCAGCCTCAAGAGTGCAGGGGAGGAGAGAATGTCACCGTCTCCGGGAGTGCAGTCACAGGCTGCAGGCATTTGTCACTTGCTTGGTCCTGACAGCCAGGACAGAATCGACCAGCTGCTTCTACCCTGAATTCCGAATGGGCTCGGGGCCGCCGGGCACGACAAGGATTTATGGGGAACACTCAGCGCACAGCCATTCCAGCACTCGCGGGCGCGTCCCCGCCTCCTGCGCTGTCTGAGCGCGTGGGCTGGGCCGGCAGCTGTGACGGCCCTGGGAATGCACAGACGCACCCTGTGGCTCCTTCTCTCTGGCAGCCCTCAGCACCGAGGGAGGAGGGACAGGAGCATAGATGCCGATGCAGGGAAGGAAGTCCCTCTGGGCTGGAGCTCAGCTTCGGGCTTACGGGGGGATCCAGGCGGGATGCAGAGTGAGCACAGCTCAGCACCGGCACGTACTAGAAAATCAAATACCTGCTCACCGGATGCTTAAAGAACAGACGAGATCACCACCTTTGAAGTCAGGCTGATCTAGGATGGATAGGAAGGGGCAGACAAAAAGATGCTGAAAATGCACAACTCAGCGGGTCTAGAGACCCGTAGGTCGTGAGGCTGAGCAGGATGGACTTTGGATGGTCCCCAGGCTTCTGGGTGACCAGGTGGATGGTGGGGAGGCTGATCACCTTGCCTCATATTTCTGGAGTACTCACTAAGGGCCAACCAGGCACTGGGCTAAGCTCTTGGCATGTATCATCTTATTGAAACCTCATGACAATCCCATGAATAAATCATTATTATTTGCATTTTGCAAATCTGAGGCCAAGAGAAGTTAAGGAAACTGGTTAAACTCAGCTCAGCCACAGTGGCCTTCTTCCTGTTTCCCAGCACACTGTGTTGGTTCCTTTGTAAGGCTCCAATAACCTAAGGGGACATTTCCTCAATGTAGACTAAGTATGTTTTTGTACTTAAAGAAATGTTGATACGAACCTATTTCAAACAGGGATTCAGCAGGTGAATAAGGCACACCTCAGCTTTGCACTTCCCGGCTGTGTGACTTCCCTCACTCCACTGTCCCTCTCTGAACCTCATCTGTAAAATGTGTCAAATGATGACATGCCCCCAGGGCTGTTGCAAAGAGAAAAAGAGAACCCGCGGGTGACAGGTATTGCTAAAATATGAAGCAAATGGAGAACATCACTAGAAGGCAGCTGGAATTCGGCCATGATTCAGGTGTCAAGCTGATTTGGGCGCCCGCGCCATCCCTCCCCTGCCTCAGTCCCGCCCTTCCCGTTCCCACGTGTCTGAACGCCAGTCCGGAATGGAGTCTCGACGTCTTCAATCACAGCAAGTCGTGGTTTCCTGGAACAGGTTTTGCCTGCTCTGACAACTGTAAAATAGAATTATGTCTGCAAATTAATTTGCTAGAAATAATCCACATTTTACAAAATTTTTCTGGAAGCCAAACTAAGCAATTAGACCCTAGGATGCTTTCCTGGCCTGGTGAGTCGGGGTGAGGCAATGTGATGAACCCACCACTCAGCACTGTCGAGAGCAGCAGGGCGGGAGACCCTCAGGACAACTGCAGTCCCCAGAAGAATAGGGGTCCACCATGGAGGGGCCTCCGTCCTTCACTTTTCTTTTTTTTTAATTGAAGTGAAATTCACATAACATAACATTAACCATTTTAAAGTGAACAATACCGTGGCATTTAGTACGTCCACAATGTGTGTAACCACCACCTCTGTCTAGTCCAGAACATTCCATCACCCCATGGGACACCCACTGAGCAGCTGTCCCCGTCCTCCTCTCCCCCGCCCCTGGCAACCCCCATCTGTCTTCTGTCTCTGTGGATTCACCTGTCCTGGGTGTTTTCATATCTGACTCCACCTATGCTAAAATAAAATTGTTCCTGGGATAGGACCAGGCACAGTGGGCTCTGAGCGTCCCTGGTCGTCCTGATGCCTGACCCGCTGTTGGTGCCAGAGCAGTGATGTTTATCAAGGATCTCAACCCCTTGGGGGCACAGGTTCTTCATCTTAACTCAGATTTTATGCCACCCGTTCTCCACGCTGACTGTGATTCCTGCTCCGCCAAATCCACCTCCTTGGGGTGTGGGGGACTTTCCCTGACTCTCCCCAGACAGACCACCCCCACCCCACACTCGGGGCAGCCCATTTGCATTCTGCCCGGGTGTCACACCACACCACACTGTGATGCCTACAACCTGTTCTCGAGCCAGCTCGTGGCTTACAGAGAGCAGGGCTGTGAGGCATAGTGGATGGAGTACTGGCTTTGTCATCCAAAAGCTGGGCTCCTGTCCCTGTGTCCCCTCCCTAAGGGGCCATGAGTGTAAACTGAGACGAGTGGTGACATTCTCTTTGTCCTGTCTCTGGCAGCCCCAGAAGTGTTCCAGGTGTATGTGGACGGAGGCCCCGGCTACTCGTACCCCGTTGACTGGTGGTCCCTGGGCGTCACGGCCTACGAGCTGCTGCGGGGCTGGGTAAGACGTGCGCCTGTGCGGTGAACGCGGGGGGCCATGCGAGTGGTGGGTTCCAGGGTTGGGTGGAGTTGGCCGGCCATACCTCTGAGACGGTGCGTGGCGGCAGAAAGGAGCACAGGAGAGGAGTCTGAGGCCCTGGGTTTTAGTCCTGACTGCTTGTGTGTCAGCTCTGAGCATCAGCGAGCTTCTGGTCAAGCCCTCTCCTCCACTCCTGGGGAAATGGATGTCCCAAGGGGAGGGTCTTGTGCAAAGGTCAGCCGCTGACCAGTGGCAGCTCAGTCACCCAAAGCACCTGGGCCTGGTGATGTCAAACACTGTCCCCTCTCGACCCACAAAACGGTGTGCCCAGGCCTGACTTTCCAGCTCCATTTGAAGCTCTTTTAGGGTAAGACCATGCTGCTTTCCCTTTTTTGTTGTTCCAGTCTTCCCCGAATACTTAGCTCAATGTCCTATGAAAATGGGACATTCAGTACGTATTTTCATTTCATTTAAATTTAATAGCTGAAGATGAGTAATGGAGCTATTTGGCGACTAATAACTCATTTTTTTTTTTAGCAGAAAGAGTTATGACAAACTAATTTTGAAGCATGTTTTCCACTGTTTGAAAATGATGCCACTTAACCTCTCAGGACCCTGGTTTCCCCTTCGCACAATGGCGATAATAACATCCTTTCAGTCTGTTCTTTGGGGCTGAAGTTATCACGGGATTAATATGCCTCTGGACTGGGGCTTGCGGTCTGCATCTCACTCACCTTTGTAGCTCCGCTGCCTGGCACAGGGCCAGCAGAGAGCCGCTTCATCCTGTTAGCTGTAACTCTAAAGTTGTTTCACAGTCATTTGAATACGTGCATATTCAGACCCGTAGACAGCGTTCCTTGGGGGCAGGGGTCCACAGTGCATGGTGATAATGGGTAATGAATGAGTGAATGAAGGGAGGAAGGAAGGAATGAAAGATGAGAGCACTGTGTAAACCATCAAAGCTATCTGAATGCAGATAACTATTATTTATCACCCTGTAGTTCAAGCAACTATTGTCTGCTCTTGATGTCAATTATTTCCCCTGAATTCCTCAAAAACATATTCTAGTACGTGGTGTTTTTAGAATGCAAGAAAAAAAAATGAACTTGTTAGTTTTCTCAGGCACTGAATGAAAAAAATTCATCTCGCACAAGCTTACTTGTTCCTGGTGGGTTCCCTTGTCGTCGGCTTGTTCCTTGGCATATACACTTAGAGGAGGAACATGAGGGTCTATGACATTCGTATGAACTAGAGGACACAGGCACCCCCCACACGCTATTTTTCTCACCTAATCAGTCACACAAATCACCCTGGCGAGCAGTCGTCCTGAGCAGGACTGAACGTGTGCCAGCATAAGGTCTGTTCTCTGGCATTCCTCACGGCTCAGAACAACGATGATGATTTGGCAAAAAGCCCCAAGGATGGAGTGGTTCCTGCTGCTTCAAAACTAAACTGTTTCCTGTTTGATTTGTCTGAGTTTTCTGCTCAGAGACCCAAATGCCACTTCCAGTGGAAGAGGGAGAGGCGAGTGGTGGGATGGGACTCTTGGCATGGGGACAAAGTGAGTGAGAGGAGGTCTGGGATGTGCTGGGGTCACTCCTTCTCCCAGATATCTTGGTCTGGCGTAATGTCTGCCTTGAAGCATAGTAGGTTTATGCAAATGGTTTATTCTCTCTTTTTCATACTAGAAACAATCACATTTAGTCAAAAAGCTATGCTGAAAAACACTCATATTTATCCATGGACTATGTAAATTTAGAAGTTATCCTTCTTGCTCGAACTTCCTCCATCATGTCAGTGACAGCATCCCTGAGAGAAGATCACCCACCTTTTCCTTGATTCCCTCAAGGTCCAGGGAGCTCCTTACCTCCAAAAAGTGAAAGAAAGTCATGATGGGAATTTTCAAATAGGTGTTCTAAGATCTTAGAGTTGGAAAGCATTAGAAATGAAAGGTGAGAAATTGATGGTATTAATACTGTTTTTTGGCCAGGGACCCAGGAATACTCTAGTCCTGGTGCAGTAAACAGACAGCTCTCCTCAACCACTCTACAGGGAGAGCAGAGAATGGGGTGTCATTAGTGGGCTTGAAATCTCAGTGCAAAGAATCCCATGAGCCTGGGTGGATCTTGTACCCTGGACCAGGGACATAAGTTGCACCCAACTTCTCTCTGAGCCCAAACTAGACTCTCAGTTCTCACCCACACAGATGTGCCAGTGAAAGAAAAAGACCCAAGAAAGTGCCGTCTGGATAGTTCTCTCTGAGAGCACAGTCATCCCAGGACTGTGACCACACCCCTGATTAGGATGCTATGGGGAGAGGTGAGAAGGAGATTTCCCATCCGCTGACCCAGAGAAGGGACCCAGCCATCGTCCCCCACATCCTGGCATCCCTGACAGGTCATCACCCACCTGTGCACTGGTTTCCCTCAGCATCCAAAGAGCTCCTTACCTCCAAGAAGAACTTGTTTCATTGTTTGACAGGTCTAATGGCCAGAAAGATTCTCCTCCTCAACTGAAAGCTGCCTCCTCGTAACAGAGAAAGATCTTAGAGGAATTCACCAGTTCAAACCCTGGCCCCACCAGGGGCTCCTTCTGTGATCTTAACTAAGGCCATAAACAGAGTACTCAGAATCCTCACCTGTTAACTGAAAAAAAATTAATAATAATATCTACCCAACAGGTTTGCTTTGAGAATTAAGTGATTCTGATGATGCAAATTACCCAGCACAGTGACTGACAAATGGTTGCATTTGGTAAATGTGAGCAACCTTCCCCTTCTCGCTGTGATTCCTGCCTGGGGGGCCAGCCAGCAGGCCTGCATCCTTTCCTACTTAGCGCCTTTCAACGCCAGAGAGAAGCGCTGGGAGGGAGGCTGGGTCACGCCTGGCTGCTGAATGGCAGCAGGAAGGCCCAGGGCCTGGTGAGCAGAGGTCTGTGTTCCCTACCACACTGTGCGCCTTGGTGCTGCGATTCCAGCTCAGTCACTTAACTCATCGGAACCCTGGCTTCCTTCTTCGTAAAACGGGGATTACGAGGCTGACCCTCCGGCCCACTGCCGGGATTCCATGATAAAACGTGGGCAGAGCACACGCAGTGTCTGGCAAACAGGAGGCATGCTGATTGTTAAATAAATATGCACGTGGCAATGCTTCCAACCAGGTAGATGCAGATAAAGTGCTGATGACTTATTCTCAGAGGAGCAGGGAAGACTCTCTGAGGGAGGAGACATTTAAGTGGGTCATATGCGAATTGCTGGAGAGAACAGTGTGAGCACAGATGAGGAAGGGAGACTGAAGCTGACACAGCAAACATTTTGGACTGACCACTAGTCAGAAGGAGAGTCAGGGGACAGTCTACAAGACCCTGAGCTCAACTGGAGGCACTTGGCTTTACTCAGTAGGCAATGCGGTGCTGTTTGTAGCAGCAACAGCACGGTGGTTAAGCAAGAGTATCCTTTGGAGTCACATATCTCTGGGCTCAAATCCTGGCTTTGCTGCACAGTCTCTGAATGATCTGGAGTGAGCCTTTTCTTGTCTATCAAATGGGGGGAATAGTAGCTGCAGGCCCAAAGCGCAGGGTTCCCCAACCTCAGCACTGTGGACATTTGGGGCTGGGTAATTCTTTGTGGTGGGGCAGCTGTCCTGTGCATTGTAGGATGTTTAGCACCATCCCTGGCCTCCACCCACTAGATGCCAGCAGAAATCTCCCCCCACCCAGTTATGACAACCAAAAATATCTCCAGACGTTGCCATATGTCCCCTGGGGTACAAATTGTCCCTGGTCCAGCACCACTGCCATAGAGTAATCCAGAGGACTCAGTGACATCCTGAATGTCAGGCTGCTGGCATATGGCATTGCATGGGGTGGGCTCTCCATACAGACAAGGGGTGGGGCCCTGAATGCCCACACTCTGAGACCTCTCTGCTTCCCCCCAACCACCTCCCTGACCTGGTGTGACCCTCGCCTTTGACCCAATCAGCCCTTCTCTTTGGGCTTGGGTAGGCAGAGAAGGCTGGGGGTCCAGAGAGGCCCATGAACAGTAGAGGGAGGGTATGTGGAGCTCCCCCTAGAGGTCAGATGGAGAACTAAGAACTCCGAAGTGCGCGCCAGGTGGGGGCGCTCAACAGCAGAATTGAAGAACATATTGGTGTGTGAACCTGACGAAGGGAGAGGGGGTCCTTGGGTTGAGACCCGACTTCACGTCCCTTGGTAAAGCAAACACAGAGGGCACTGTGCCAGGAGTCAGTAACCCGGGAGGAAAGGAACTTTGTGACCTCGCTCCCCTCGGTTCTGGCTCTCTATAAAGGGAGGGGAAAGAGCTTGGGCTGTTCAGGGGTCTTCAGGCTGTGTTTCCTGGAACTGTAGGACCATGCAGATGTGATTCGACTGTTCCATTGGGGAAAAAAGTGTTTCTCCAAGCTTTGGAGGTTTACACAGCCCGAGGAATTGTTCTTCACTTTCATCTGTTCTGTGTTTAAGATTTTGAGTAAAAAGATTTTGGGGAAGAAACATTGGGTTAGACAGTCCCCAAGGCCCAGCTCAGCTTTAGCAGCTCAAATAACAGGTCTACGGCAATTCTTCTCCTCTTCCTTCCTTTTCTTGCTAATTTGACATTTTTTGTAAACTGAGTTTCCTGGAATAGAGACACTATTCCATAGTGTCCATAGAGTCCATAACGAGTGTGTCCAGGGCCCTGCTGCTAAATTGCTCTCACCAGCAGTACATGGAACCACTTTATCTTATAAATACCACTCGGTGCTCTGAGTCACACATCCTAAGGCCAGTGAGTGAGAACCAAGCATCAATAGAATTCTTTACCACAAGCAGATGGAATATTGATCTTAATATTCTTTTTGATTTGCCAGTATTCTTGTAGAGACCCCGGGTTTCTCTACAACAACCCAAACAGATGAAGGCTGAGCCCGGAGCCTAAATGTGCAGAACTTATTCTGGTCATAGAGTTCCAACTTACTTCCAAATGTATTTAACTGCTGTATTGGCCTCATAGCTTATTATAGTTATCATTATTATCATCATTGTTATTTGTGTGTGTGTGTGTGTGTGTGTGTGTGTGTGTGTGGAAGATCAGTCATGAGCTAACATCCGATGCCAATCCTCCTCTTTTTTGCTGAGGAAGATTGTCTCTGGGCTAACGTCCGTGCCCATCATCCTCTACTTTATATGGGACGCTGCCAGAGCGTGGCTTGACAAGCGGTGCGTCAGTGCGCGCCTGGGATCCGAACCTGTGAACCCCGGGCCGCCAAAGCAGAGTGCACACACTTAACCGCTGCATCACCAGGCCGGCCCCTCATCATTGTTATTTTTATTGGTCTGGTTCCCTCCAGAAGTGGAGAGAATTACAGAGAGATCGAGAGCGGCTCATTGGGAAGTCTGATGGAAATGCAGACTTAATGAATGCCTTGAAGTAAACAAGAAGGAAAAAGAGAATGAAATGTAAATGATAAGAAAACTCTTTACAGTGGTTGCTGGCTGGGTCTCCAACTGGGTGCTTGAATTTGCCGCTCGGGTGGCAGTGCAGAAAGAGCAGTAAATGAGAATCTGGGTCTCTGTGGGACATTGAGAAAGTCATTTTTTGCCTCCCAGCCTCAGTTTCCCAACCTTTAAAATGAGGAGGTGAGACTGTATCATTCCCAAGGTCCTTCCGCCTCCAGCCGCTGGTGGGGCTGGGGGTGGGGTTGGGGGGGAGGGGATGGTTCACTGAGAGGCAAAAAGATGGGAAAAAGAGATCCAGAATAGTCCAGAAACCAAAGTCTTGGCCTCTGGCCGGTCTCCAGGTGGTGGCCCAGCTCCGGTTTCCCAGCCACGTCTCACTAAGGCAGCACCCCCTCCACCCCCGTGCACCCTAGGGGTTCCTCCCCAGCGCTCATCCTACACCTGAAGACGCTGACTGCCCAGCTCCCTCCAGGACAGCCAGCTCAGCGGGGTCGGGACCAGGTGAATGCTGCTCACCCGGGGCCCAGTCTGCAGAGGGCGCCAGCACATCCCAGGAGCAAAGCGGAATCCTGAGGCCTCCAGTCAGAAGGCTGCGCGTGGGCTGCGAGGGGAGTTGTGTTAATCTGCTCGGGCTGCCGTGACGATGTACCGCAGACTGGGGGCTTGAACAGCAGAAACTCCTCCTCTCCTGGTTCCGGGGATTGGATGTCCAAGATGGAGGTGTCGGCGGGGTCGGTTCCCTCTGCGGGCTGTGAGGGCAGGATCCCTCCCTGGTTGTAGATGGCGTCCGCTCCCTGCGTCTCTTCACACGTCTTCCCACGATGCCTGCCTCTCTCCGTGTCCTGTCTCCCCTTTTTACAAGGACACCAGGCAGCTTGATTAGGGCGCACCCTAATGACCTCCTGTTAACTGGTTTACCTCTCTCTCCCCCTCTCTCCTAGTAAGGTCACATTCTGAGATACTGGGGGTGAGGACCTCAGCATATGAATTTGGGGGACACACTTCAGCCCATGACAGCAGTGGTCAGAGGCAAGCCCTGGGTCCACAGTGCCGGAGCTGGGTGCCGCCACCTCCCAGCTCGGGGGCGTGGTGCCTCTGGTTGGTCTTCTATGAAATGGTCGTATTCATCGTAGCTAACACGTACAGAGTCTGTGAGTTGTGCGTCACATAACAAGTGCTCTCAATCAATGTCCACTCCCATTACGTCTAATCCTGGTGGTGGTTGTGACTGGTGGAGTGCAGAGGGGTCCTGCAAATGCAGAAGCAGGCAGCAGCTTCCGGGGGAAACTTTAAAATGCTCCTTACTGGAACCACACGCCACTTCCCATTACATTAAAACACATGTTTGAAGAAATATTTAAAGAATATTAGTGTATCAAGTTGATATGCCTGTCTAGGGAGCCCACAGGCTTTGGTTTTGCTCATAGGGCAGAAGGGGGAGTTCCCAATTTAATTAACAGATGAGAGAGGAGGCGGCCAGTCAGGAAAAGGTCCCCTCCTGGGTGGACACATCAGAAAGCACCGGCACACCCCTGCAGGCAGATATCTTCTCCAGGGGACCCCCCTTTGGTGAGGATAAAGGCTCTCCTTCATTCTGGTGAATTGTTGCCCACCCAGGACTCAGGTGCCCTCGCCTTCTTGGGCTGGCACCTCCAGTTTGCAGCAGCCCTGTGGACATCAAAATTCCATGAGGTTGGGCCTGGCACCTTATGCGCCACACGAGCCTGATGTGGTGTCTGACCCACATCAGAGTTCCATCCATATTCACGGATGGACCGACACATGGTTCTCATTGTCATTGTGCTCTGGGACCCTGCTGGATGGCAGACACTGCTCAGGGCCCTGAGAACAGAGAGGTGAGTGTGATATAATCCCGCCTTCAAGGAGCCCCCAGCGGGAGTTCCGTACCAGACAGTCAAGTTCATGTGGATTCATTATGAATTCATTCCTCCACATTTCTAAGGATCCCTTTAGTTGTTGCACCACCTTTGCTTGGGAAATGATTGCCTCTTCTAGCCCTGAGTCCTTTGCCCGTGATGCAGACCTGGAAACCACAAAGCCAGGTGGAAGGTAAAGAGGCTCAGAGAGCTGTTCATTGGTGGGGGGAGAGCGTCAGAGGGAGGGAGTCGATGCTCAGTCTCCAAGCTGCTTCCCCGGGGGTCACAGTCCAGAAAGCCTTCCTGAGATTTGAGAGGTCCTTGAAGCGAGAAACTGCCCATGGCAATGTTGAGAAAACACAGTCAGAGGTCTAATGATCTACCGAGCTGGGAAATTGGAGGAGAAGAGGGCTCATGCATCCTCATTGTGGGGAGAGAGGATGGCAGGTGAGAATAGCAGGCTGAAGAAGCCCAGCCTCCTCCATGCCTCTGCCCAACCAGACCCAGACCTTGGCGATTTCAGCCCTCCCCAGTCCCGGGCTGGTTCAGCCAGGGCAGAGAAAGGTGGCAGCTGAGGCCTACGAGCCAATCTCCCTTCCCCACCATGCCCCGGCCTCGGTCTGGAACAGTGACTCTGGCCTTACGCTGTTGGGTGTGGATCCTGCCTCTGCCACTTACCGGCTGTGGGACCTTGCCAAGTCACTTAACCTCCTGTAGCCATAACAGAGCACCCACCTGCTGGGTTCCTGCACTGCCCCACGAGTCTGGTCACTGTTGGCACATGAGTCCCGGCCACCTGCTCTGCTGTGAAGGAGAAAGACCCATTGTTACCTGAAGGGAAACAGTAAACCACCCCTCGTAATTAGAGTTTCTCCCGTGGCAGTGGTGTCTTCCTGTTGGCTGGCTCTCTGATTCTGCCCATTGTCCTTTGCTTGCAGAGGCCGTATGAAATCCACTCAGCCACGCCCGTCGATGAGATTCTAAACATGTTCAAGGTGGAGCGTGTCCACTACTCCTCCACGTGGTGCAAGGGGATGGTCGCCCTGCTGAAGAAGGTGAGGGGCGGCTGCCAGCCTGCCTGGAGTGAAGTCACTGAGTGCAGAAACAGGCATGGCAGCAAATTAAAGAAGGAGAACACAAACGGAATGACAGTAGTGGAAAAAATAAAGTAAGCAGGGCCCTCATACAACATCATACCTGCCCTCGTGATCTTGCATACAAGACCATAAAGCCACTGGACCGTGGAGTCTAGCTTGGAGTCACATCTGTGACAGCAAAGCCCCCAGGCTCTTTTCACTCCACTACAAGCTCCTAATAAATAGAAATACTTAATGCATAAGATTTCTAAATTTTTGCTACAAATGATCTTTTAACCCACTTAGCTTTAAGAAATTGGGCATCTCCTGACTTTTTCCAGGAACTGTTGCTATTAGAATAAAACAGTGGTTCTCAAAGTGTGGTCCCTGGACCAGCAGCATCACCTGGGGGCTTGTTGGAAATGTTGGATTCTCAGGCTCCACCCCAGACCTGCTGACTCAGAAGCTCTGGTGGTGGGGCCCAGTGGTTTGGGCTTTGACCAGCTCTCCAGGTGGTTCTGATGCACAGTCCAGTTTGCACAGGAAGTAGGTCTTGGTGGGCTTCTTTTGAGGCTGGCATTCAGCTCTGCTCACCTGGAATCCTCCAGGATGCATTGAGTCGAGTCTTGCTTGTGACTGGCACCCAGTCATTTTTAATAAAAGAGTGATCATAGCAGCCAGGGTTTGTTGAGGGAATATTAGGTTTGGGGCCATGTGGTCGTTCTTCTCACTTAATCCCTACAAGCCCTGTGAGCAGAGAACAGTTATCATCCCCAGAGTAGTGATGAGAAAACCAACCGAGGCTTAGGAAAGTGAAATGGTTCATCAGTGCCACAGGGCAGGTAAAGGGCAAGGATTGGAATCCAATCTCCGGACTCCAGATCTTAGCTCTCAGTCCCTTCACTGTTGTAAACTACTTGTTGAATTACGAATTAGAGGAGATTCACCACCCAGTTCTGAGAAGTCAGTGGTCCTCCCCCGACCGCTCACTAGAATCACTGGAAGCCCTACATACACGCCGATGCCTGCACCTCCCGCCCAATGAGTCGGAGAACTGCTGCCCTAAAACGGTGAACTCCCACAGGGCATTGTAATGGAGTCTCTGTTTAAATCTGCATCCAGCATTTTGGGGCAGCCCCTAGAGAGAGACCCCATGATCAACCCTGCCAGGGGTCCCTCACCTGGTGTGACTCCAGCCCACTGGCTGGGCACAGGTGGGAGGTTTCTGCAGTGACAGGTGGGTGTAAACTGGCAGAGGGGCTCCGACTTGCGGCTCCCACCTGTTGGCAGATGGGTGTTGCACCCTCCTTATCTTGTGCCGGGTTCTTACTGATCCCCTTCGGGTCTCGTCCTCATTGTGACCTGGATGTGGAAGAGTTCCCGTTGTTCTTCCTGCTTTCAGATGAGGAAACAAGCGCAGAGCACCCAGCAGCTCACCAAGGCCACACGGCCATTAAGTGGCAGTGCCCAGGCCAGGGCTCCTGTCCGTTCATTTTTAGCCCAAGTGTTCTTTGCACTGGACAGACTAGTGTGTTTTGACAAGCTGAAAGCCCCATTTGGATGCAGGGTAATATTCTACGGCTATTTATTATACTGCATCACACCTTATTAGCAGAAATTCTATTTTAGGAGAAGCTAAAAATTGTCCACTTGGCTACAAATGAGGCCACTCCATCAGGCTGCAGAGGTCCCCTCATAGCTGTCCAGGGCTAAATTTCATTACACTGTTGTACATCCGTTACCAAGTTGGAAGTCCTAAGACCAAGTGGCTAATTCATTTTATTTTTAATTGGAGGCCTCTGCAGACAGCTGTGAGAGGCGACATGTCATAGGACACTAGTCCCCGAGGGGAGCACAGTAGCTGAAAATTTAGTCCCTGCCCAACAGCCCCTTGCTGGGTGACTTTGCAGAAGCGGCCTGACCTCTCGGTTCCTCCCTGGCTGTAAAGAGATGAGATGGTAACACTTCCAACAACAGCTACCCAGACAGGGCATGACATTAATGGCAGGACATAGAAAGAGGCACCTTCCTTTTCCTGAGACTCCCACCTTCAGAGTCGTCCCCAACCCCTGCTAACCTTGGTGGGGTGCATGGCTAAGCCAGCACGTTTGCCCTTTGCCCACAGCTCCTGACCAAGGACCCCGAGAGCCGCCTGTCCAGCCTTGGTGACGTTCAGAGTGCACCCTACTTGGCTGACGTGAACTGGGACGCCGTGTTCGAGAAGGCACTGACGCCCGGCTTTGTGCCCAATGTGAGTGGAGGTCCTGTCGCATGGCATGCCACCCCTCTGCAGGGACCCCCACTTGGTGCAAAGGAAGACCCCAGAAGCTGGCCATCGAGGTCTCTGCTGGCCGTGGCCACTTGAGCACCAGCGGGTTCACATGTTGCTGAGATTCAGGGTGGATTTGGACCTGAATTCCAAGGTCCCAGCGGGGCAGCTTCTCTCCTTGTAGCAGGTCCTTGTGGATACAGAGCTGCCTTTCTTTTATTGAATCACACCCACTATGTGCACAGGTCCAGCCACTGGGGGAGAATCACACCCACTGTGTGCACAGGTCCAGCCACTGGGGGAGAATCACACCCACTGTGTGCACAGGTCCAGGCACTGGGGGGAGAGCAGGATGTTGGAAGCAGACCGAGCCCTGCTCCCATGGGCCTGACTGTGAGGGGAGGAAGGCAGACAATGAGCCACCATGCCAGTAAGTATGTACATGACAGCAGGTGGTGATGTGGGCTGTCACCGCACACAGAACAAGCTAAGAAGAGAGCGAGAGGCTGGGGAAGGATAGGGAGGCAGGGCCTCCCTTAGGTAGAGTTGGCAGAAATCTGAAACAAGTTTGGGGCCGGCCACAGGACAGCTGGGGGCTCAGTGCTGCGCGGTAGTTGCATTTCTCCTGGAGGAGATTGCAGAGTGCACGTGAGGGGTAGTGACAAATGTGACAGAAATGCTGGGCGACATTCCAGCTCGGCCAGCTCCTCTCTGTGACCTTGGAGAGCGCCCTCCACCCTGCCAGGTTCACCTTGCTCACCTGTGGACAGTGGCTTATAGTTGCCTCCCTGGTACTGGGTGTGTGTGTGTGAGGAGAGAGACCTCGGCACAGGTCCGCAAAAGCTGGCCCCCTTGCTCCCTATCCCAACCCCTTGTTGTCTGCACGCAGGGGGAGACTCAGGCTCAAAAAGCCTTCGTCCCTTAGACACACGCACACACACACATCACACACACCTCAAGATAAAAGCACAAGAGCAAAAGAGACCTGGTGGGGCCATAGGCTGGTGGGTGGGGAGCCCCAGACTTCCCAGGGTGTGTTTTATGTCAGAGTATTTTAAAGACCTCTGTTGCTCCTTTTGGTACAAAAATAATCTGGTTCCCCAAATCAGTTTCTCCAAGAATCCAAGGCTTCAAGTTCCCTTTCACAAACAGTGCTTATAACCGTTACAACAAAGGGGTGCACCTTTCTGAATTTAGATTCACCCCACAGACTGAGCCGCGTTCTAGACGCAACTCTCTGAAAGCAAAGCCTGGTGATGCTGATCTTTTCACACCTTCTCCCAACAAGCAAACCCCGGGTCCCTGCCTGTCTCGCCTGTGGTCCTCCTAGACCGCCCTCTCCCCACCTTCCCCCCAGGCGAGCTCCAGGCACGCTAACCCAACGGCTGTTCACAGAACGCTCTGCCTCTGTCTTCCAGCCTTGGCCCCTGCCATTCCCACTGCCTGGACCTCCGTCCATCCACCTAGACCTGCTTTCCTTAGGGCCTCTGCCTGAGGAAGCCTCCCTTGAGGTACCCCCACTCCAGCGCCGCCTCCAGGTTCAGATGGCTCCCAGCCTCCCCACACACAAACAGGCAGTGGAGACAGGGCGCCCGGGGCAGGCTTGGCACAGAGTGGCTGCTCAGTCAGTGCCCGTCCCCTTCCTCCCACTGTAAGAGTTTGGGGACTTTGCTTGACCAACTGTGAGGTGTGGTGTGTGTGTTGGGGGGGTGTGTGTGGTGTGGGGGGGGCTGTTGTGTGTGTTGTGTGTGTGGTGAGTGTATGTGGTATGTGTGTGGTGTGTGGTATATATGATGTGTGTATATGTGTGTGTGGTGTGTGTGTTTGGTGTGGTGTCTGTGTGTGTGGTGTGTTTGTTGTGTGTGTGTGGTGTGTGTGTGTGGTATCCATGTAATGTGTGGTATGTATAGTGTGTGTATGTGGTGTAGTGTGTGTGGAATGTGTGTATGTATGTGATGTGTGTATGGTGTATGTGGTATGTATGGATGATGTGTGCATGCGTGTGCATGTGGTGTGTGTGTGTGTGTGGTGTGGTTGTATATGTATGTGGTGTGTATATGGTGTATTTGGTGTGTTTGGTATAGTGTGTGTGTGTGTGTGTGGTGTGCTGTGTGTGTGGTGTGTGTGTGGTGTGGTGTATGTGATGTGTGGTGTATGCGTGTGTGGTGTATGCATGTGTGGTGTGTGTGCAGTGTGTTGTGTATGTGGTGTGATGTGTGTGTGTATGTGTATGTGGGGGGGGATGTGCATCCACGGATGGAAGGTGTGCCTTGGGGACCTCGGAGTCAGCTGGAGCGGTGACGGCCCCCCTGCAGGGCAGGGCAGCGTCCTCGGGGCCGTTTTCCACCACAGCTCACTGGCAGGTGAGGGGAGCCGTACCAGGTGAAAGCATCCCGCCCTCACTGAGCGCGCGCAGTGCGGCTGACCCGCGGTGCATCCGCAGTGAGGAGAGCAGTGGCGGCGGCAGCTGGCGGGGAGCTGGGAGATGAGATCAGGGCTCCTCAGCTGCTGCTGACGTGAGGGCCTGACATCCTTGCAGGAGGGCTGGCCGTGTGGCGGAGGCGCTGTAGCAGCATCCCTGGATCTACCCACACGGTGCCCATAGCGCTCCCAGTTGTGACAACCAAGAACATCTCCAGACGTTGCCAAGTATCCCTGGGGGACACGGCCCCTTGTTGACAACCTCCGGGCTAGGGGTGCGTGAACAATCACCCCATAAACACACAAAGACACATACAATGAACCAGCAGGCTGAGCCCGGGAGGGAGACCCGCAGGCTCCCGCCCCGGGAGCACAAGCCGCGGAGACCTGGCTCCACTCTGCCACCTGTCACCTCAGGTGCGCTCAGGGTTCCTCGCCTGTCACCTGAGGAGAAGAGTGGGGCCCCTCACGGAGCTTGGGAGGAGGAGACGCCAAGAGGCTTCCAAAGGCTCCGTGCAGGCCTGGCAGCAGTGGGCCCTCAGTAAACACCACCCGTGTAATTGCCGTGTTAATTAATAAACCCAGCGGAGGCCTGTTCCCAGTTCCTTCGGCTGACTTCCTTCAGAATGCCCGCTCTGGATACACCAGAGAAACACGCGAGCGTTCTCTGTGGTCCTCGTCTGCCAAGCTCAGGCCAGACTGAGGAGACCCAGGGATCTGGACGCAGACCTGCACATGGAGCACAAACCGCCTAATTAATTCTTCCCCTGCTGCATTGGAGCCTTCCCCAAGGCTGTGTGCCAATGCCCTGGGGGACACATGGGGCCATCACGTGGCATCGTCTGTCAGGGGCAGGTACCTGCCTTTGCAGCCCTCACCTGCCGCTCCTCCCCAACCTGCCCAGACACACTCATGCATACCTACTCACACACATATACACTCACTCCCCCACACATATGCATGTGCATGCTCAGTCCCACACGAACACACGAGGACCCGTGCAGAGCCACACCCCTGCCTGCAGTTGTCCCCTGCGCCATGCTGTTTCCCAGCTCAGTACCTGTGCACATGCTGCTTCCCCTCTGAAGATGCCCTATTTTCCACCCGGCAGTCTCCCACCCCTCCTTCAGGGCTCAGCAGAAAACACAGCAACCAGCCCATTGGAGGGTCTCGGTAACTGCCTTCGGCCTGGGAGGCAAACTGCAGCACCACCTCCTCATCGCCCCCACCAGCCCCTCCAGCCCCTTACGTGGAGTGGATCGCGGCCTCTCTGGTTGGTCCCCACTGGACAGTGCCCAGGTCTACTTTAGCCGTTGATAGCGTTCTGCTACAGTGTGTCTGCCATCCCCCTGAGAGCTTCAGAGGGCGGGGGCCATGTGGTGTTGGCTGGCCTCTGCCTGAGAGAGCCCCCAGAGTGATGGGTGGCCCTAGAAGGCAGTAGAAGCCCTCAAAGTGTGCTTGTCACATGAGTATGAACGAATGAATGAATGATGATAGCCAACAGGATGGAGTATGTTCTGCGTGCCCGGCACTGTTCTAAAATTGCATATGCATTATCTCATATACGCTTCACAACAGAGAGGTGGATCCTGTTAGTATTCTCAGCTTAAGTCAGTATTCACAGGTTAAGTAACTTTCCCACGCTTACTCAGTGAGAAATGGACAGAGCCAGGGTCTTGACCTCAGGCAGTCTGGATCCAGAGCCTGCACTGGAATGAATGAATGAATGAATGAATGAATAAAAGGCAGATAGATCAGGCCAGGAAAGACTTGGGCCTGAAATCCGACCTGCTCGTTGGGAGAGGTCTCTGTGCACCTCCACAGCTGTTGATGTTGTAACCACTAGGCTGTACTGCCTGAGGGGACTGGCATCCTGGGCTGGGTCTCAGGATGGAAAACAGCCACCTAGGATCTCAGGTCCCAGGTCTGGAAGTCAAGGAGACCAAAATTCCTCCTGACCACAGTGGCCTGAGGGTCAGCTGGCTCCAGCTGTGGGGGAACAGGGAACCAGGACGGGCAATTGGGCAAATTTTTATCAGAAATGGCATTTTTAAATTGAATTATTAAAAATGATATTTATAGAAAAGGTAGTAATGGATGAGAATGTGTGTATGATAAAATAAGTGAAAGCAGATTGGAAAACTGAACTCAGCCTCATGAAACGAACAGACACAGGAAGGAGACTAAGGAACTGCGTGGATGTTAATGGGTGGGGTTGCCCTGGGGTGGGGGCAGGGGTTATGGGGATAGATGAATGACGTGCAGTGAGAACGTGTTGCTTTTCACCACCAGGAGAAGAATGTGAGTGATGTGTCCCGCGATAGTAGTCGATCATACTTGTTGAATGAACGATTGAATGAAGGAATGAAAATACAGTTCAGTGCTGGGTGGGACAGAGACAAACCATGTGTCCCCTTCCACTTCCTTTCAGAAAGGGAGATTGAACTGTGATCCCACATTTGAACTTGAAGAAATGATTCTCGAATCCAAGCCACTTCACAAAAAGAAGAAGAGGTTGGCAAAGAACAGGTCCAGGGACGGCACGAAGGACAGCTGTCCTCTGGTGAGCATTGTCTCGGGAGCAGACCCCGGGAGGAGAGGTGTCTTATACCCCAGTGAATATAACTGAGTGAGGCTGCTTTGTAGCCCAGTGGAGGCATGTCACCTCCCCCTTCCAAACACCTTCATTTGCAGTAGATGAGGTACCTCCATCGAGCGAGTGGTCCTTCGTAGCACGAAACTGTGAAAGAATCACTGTACATCTCCACATCATGCTCTCATCCTTCACGTGAGCACTGTTCCTCGTGCAGGAGCCTCCTGCATCTCTAGGCGAGAGCGGACGAACAATGCCCAGTGACGTCAACGCTGCGCCGAGTGGTCCCGAGCACCCTTGGGAAAGATTTTATACCGTGGAGGCGCCCCGGGCTGCAGAGTGACTTTCGTGGGGCCCTGGGCATGATGGCTTCTTTGGGCACCTGTGTTCCTTTTCTAGTCTCCCATAACAAAGTATCACAAACTTGGTGGCTTGAAACAACTGAAATGTATTCTCCCGCAATTCTGGAGGCCAGAAGTTCAAAATCAAGGTGTCGAGAGAGCCGTGCTCTCTCCAAAGGCTGTGGAGAGGCTCCTTCCCTGGCTCTTGCAGCTTCTGGTGGTTGCCGGCAATCCGTGGCGTTCCTTGTCTCCCAGCTGCATCAGTCTAACACCCCCTCCATCCTCACATGGTCTTCTTCCCTCTGTGTCTTTCTACGTCTCCTGTGGCCTTCTTTTAATGACACCAGTCACTGGATTTAGGGCCCACCCTACTCCAGTATGGCCTCATCTTAACTAGTTACATCTGCAAAGACCCTGTTTCCAAATAAGGTCACATTCACCAGTACTGGGGCTTAGGACTTCAGCATACCTTTTGGAGGGGCACAATTCAACCTACAACTGCCCCTTCCTCCATAAAAATATATTAAAAATGATATTTTATGACCACATTGGAATGAAGAGGAATATAACTTTCAATGCTAAAAGTTCTTTTTTTTTCTGCTTCATTTAAAAGAAGTTAAAACATCTTTGCAGCCCCTAAAAGTATCGTGGGCCGTAGGCCCTGTGCCTGCCAAGCCTAGTGCAGAAGCTGGCCTGGAGACACCTGAGTGTTCATTAATAAGGGTGCACAAGGGGATAGGGGGCGTTCTGCGCAGGCGTGCAGTGTACACCCGGCATTCAGGCAGCCTCTACGACGTGTGTGATGGAGCATTGCTGAGCGTGGTGGTCTTGGCACCTGTTCTTGAAGACAGTGAGCACCTTTGCATGATAGTCTTGAATTTCTTCCCCCCGTCCCCAGGCTGCTTAATTACGCCTAATGGACATTCAAGCAATTAGAAAACCAAGCGCATGATTTTCAATCCATATTCCATTCTAAGATGGCTTTTAACTTGGATTTAATGGCTTAACATTGAGAAAAACATCTTTGTCTGCCAGGCTCCCCTTGGCACAACCGCCCATACAATCAGGGCTGCTTCAGCCTCTTAGCTCGTCCCCAGCCCCAAGCGTCCATGGTCCCACTTAAATCAATCTCTGCTGTCATCGCTCCTTTGTCATGGCTCCCTGATGATGCCCCGTCACTTACAGTCACCTCTCTGTGCTCTTTGACAGAATGGACACCTTCAGCAGTGCTTGGAGACCGTGCGGAAGGAATTCATCATATTCAACAGGGAGAAGTAAGTCCTCCACAGCACCCACTGGGCAGAGCCCTTCCATGTGACAGAAGACTCCCTGAGAGAATCGGGGTCCCTGCCCCCTGGTGAAGCCAGCGTGATGCTGGAAGGGAAGCAGCAGGTGGACCCCGTGTTCTATCGTGCCTCCTCTGCAGAGCTGAGCAAGGCTCTAACTGCCCCTCTCTGGGCCTCGGGGTCCTCCTATGAAGTGAGGCCGGCCACAGCGGGATGAGCTGGCACCCAGGAATGCCGGCGCGGAGAGGCAGGCTTGCAGGCGGTTGGGTGCCGAGCTCTGCAGCGAAATTGCCTGGGGTCCAGTCCTGGCTTTGCAGCTGCCAGAGAGACCTGAGGCAAGTTACTTAACTTTGCTAAGCCTCGTTGTCAGCATTGGCAAAATGGAAATCACTGCCTTGCTATGTGGTTGTTATAAGATTAAATGAGGCAGTTGATACAGTGCCTGGCATGCAAATGATTACTATTATTATTACTTAACGGGGTAAGGTGGTGTGGGCTGTGTTGGGACCACAGCATCATGGGCTGGCATGAGATGGGACTCGTGCAGTGGGAGCTGAATCCCTGCGGGCGGGACTGACAGCAGATCAGCACAGCTGACCAACACTGACCTAGGCTTTGGCCTTGCAGAGACGATCAGATATGCTTCCTCCCCGAGGACCAGATGGATAAATGTCAGGTTGACCCTATGTACTCACCAGTATTCCACCATTTTGGCTCACAGCAGGACAGCAGCACAGGGAATGTGTGCTATGATAAAGGGCAGCACAGGCAGTGGCTCTCACAGCAGGCGCCAGCATCAGGGTAGGTGTCAGGGAAGCTTCCAGAAGCACCACGCTGGGCTGAGTCCTGAAGGGCCCGGAGGGGAAAGGCGTGGACCTCCAGCCTTGTGAGGACGAGACAGTGTGGCAGACGTAGGGACCCACAGCTGGTTGAGAAGTTTGAATTCCCAGAGCATGCATGGAGGAGGGCGGAAGTCGGAGGTGAGGGACCGGGGGCAGGGTTGTTCGGATTCCAGCCCGTGGGCTGGTGGGCAGGGCAAGGCCCCATTCCCAGTGAAGCACTGGGAAGGTGAAGGAGATGGCAGCCTGCCATTTGTCCTGGGCAGCTGCAGCTCTAGGACCGATGGGTGCCCAGGTCAGCCCAGACTCACACACCAGTCAGGGGCAGCAAGCCTCACTCTCACCCACTGGGGGACCACATCTGCTTGGTCCCCCTGTTCTGCAGCAGAGCAGGAAGGGCCACTGCGACCACGGCCCGTCAGACTTGGGGGAGGCAGAGGGTGACATGGGGAGTGGTTTCAGAACTCGTCACAACTGCCCCGCAGTCCTGCCTGCTCTGGGCTCATGGTCCTGCCCCAGCCTTAGAAACCCAGTCCCAGGAACTTCTGCTCAAACCAGGTTGGGCGCTTTTGACTGTGAGCAATGGTGGGCTCCAGGCATCCTTGCCTTGAGTCTTTCATCCATTCAGGCATGGACCGAGGGGTCCTCAGAGAGTGCGGGGATGGAGAATGTGAGAAAAGGCTGAGCAATGGCGAACCCAAGCGGATAGCAATTGCGTCGCACATTGTGCTGTATGCCAGAAGATGCTTCAATTTGGAATCTGAAGAATCCAAATTGTTTCCTTTTAAAAGAAAATGAAAATGAGACATCCCTCCTTGTGTCATTTTGGGGTCGCGTCTGGCTGCTTTTAGCAGAAACACAGCTATATAGGAGCTTCAACCAATTCGATGTTCTTTCTCACGTGGAAAAGTGAATTGATTAGGGAGAAGTAGCGGGGTCACCCAGCCGTGCTGAGGACTCCTTTGAGCGTTGTGGTCATGGATCCGAAGTGAGGCTGGCACAGTTAACAGGAGTTGGTAAAATAAAGAAAGAGGGTGGAAGATGTTTTCCAAGAAGGTAGGCGGAAGACGGTTTCCAGATGGAGACGTCAAGAATCAGCATATGCAAAAGCAGGAGGCAGGACAGAAGATGACCCAGAGGGGGAGCTGTACATGGAGTCTGTCTGTGGTTCCTGCTCTTCATCCCCGCCCCTCTGCTCACCTGAGGTGCTCCCAGTGGCCCTGAAGGTAGATAGTCTATCTGTCAGAGCAGGTGTGCTGGGAGCAGTGCCTTTCCCCCAGCCTCTCCCCACCCACCACAGGAAAGTACCCAGGTGGAGGGCTTGGCGGTCCCACCAGGATCTTGTCTGAGCATCACGTCGACCCCTCCATGTCAAACCCCACCCCTGCTCCACGACATACATGGGCAGGGAGCCACGTTGCAACCCCACAGCCCTCCCTGCTGCTTTTTCTCATCTGTAAAAATGGCTGTGAGAAGTCAACTCGTGAGGCGTGATCTGCCCCAAACCAAGAGTTTTCCTTTTAAGCCAACAAAAAAGTGGGACCTGTTCATCCTCCACCCCTTTTTGCAATCCTGTGTTTGAAGCACCTGCTGTGTTGGCACGTGAGTAGCTGGAACATTAAATCAAGTCCCTTCATATCCGACATCAGCCGGGTGGCCAGGCCTGACTGGGTGAGGGACACCGAGACACTGAGCCAGGCTTCCCGTCATAGTCCGCTGGGACCGCGCTGCCCCTGCCTCCTCAGGCAGTCGTCTCCTCTCATTATCTGAGTGCCTGGCCGTCAGCCCGCGACAGCTTGGTCCTGCTCTGTGTGCAGTGGTTGCAGCCCTCTTCATGCAGAGGGCGCTGCAAAGGTGAACCTGAAGGAGGTGCTATGGTCACAGAATACCATCAGAATCACCTAGCAGGGAGTATTAGCATTTAGAGTTGTCAGCCCGCGACAGCTTGGTCCTGCTCTGTGTGCAGTGGTTGCAGCCCTCTTCATGCAGAGGGCGCTGCAAAGGTGAACCTGAAGGAGGTGCTATGGTCACAGAATACCATCAGAATCACCTAGCAGGGAGTATTAGCATTTAGAGTTGCTGCACCTGTTATAGGCTGAATTGTGTCCCCCAAAATGATATGTTGACGTTCTAGTCCCCAGTACCTCAGAATGTGACCTTCTTTGGACAGGGGGTTGTTGCAGATGTAAGTAGTTAAGATGAGGTCATATTGGAGTAGAGGGCCCTTAATCCAATACAATTGGTGTCCTGATAAGAAGGGAAGAGGCACAGACACAAAGAGAAGGCTGCGCGATGATGGAGGCAAGAATGGTAGTGACGTGCTCACAAGCCGAGGAACAGCGAGGACTGCCCACAGCCACCAGAAGCCAGGAGAGAGGCCTGGAAGGATTCTCCCTCAGAGCCTCCGGAAGGAATCAACCCTGCTGACACACTGATTTCAGACTTCTGTCCTCCAGAACTGTGAGATGATAAATTTCTGTTTTAAGCTAGCCGGTTGGTAGTACTGTGTTACAGCCACCCTCAGAAACTAACACAGCACCCTTCTGAATCAGAAGCTGAGAGAATAGGCCTGGGGATCTGGATTTTAACGTGTTCTTCAAGTCATTCTGATGCCTAATGGTTTGAGAACTTCTGCGGGAGACCAGTGTGCCCAAACCGTGCATCCTCTAGTTGGTTCTGAGCTGAGTCACAAGAATCCCCACCTAAAACTGCAAACCCTCCCAGCCCTCTGTCTCCCTTGCCCTGGGGTAGTCACCTGCAACTCCAAGCCATTGCAGGCTGAAGGGTGCTCCCAAGGGCCTTAACCACCCTGGACAGCTACCTGCCTCCTGCACGGACCACGTGTGCTTCCTCAGCTAGAGAAAGCTCTCAGGCAGAGAAAAGGTTCTCCTCCCCCCACGTGATGAAGCTGTCATCAGCATGCAGTGCCAAGGGGACATGGGCCGGGCATCACCGCGTCAGCTCCCGTAGAAGATTCTCATTCAGTCCTTCCACAGATATCCATAATCCTGGCCTGGGCCTTGGGACACAGAAGTGGATCTGGCAGGACGCATGTCCTCAGGATGCCCTCAGCCTGCAGGGGAGATGCTGGGGTGCAGATGTGCACGGGCCACTGTGGGGACGTGGAGGACATGTCCTGGGTCCGAGCTCTCTGGACCTCAGTTTCTAAACAGAGAACGAAATTAAAATTAGCCCTACCTAATTGTCCGGAAATGCAGCTTATTATTGGTTAATGGTCTTGGCTGGCGAAAGGCCACGGAGCCAGGTGGAGTGTCTGTTTCCAGGGACTGGGCCGGCCTTTGAAGGCCTTGGCAGCTGAGCTTCCATTAGTTTGAGAGACGCACCGTGGGGCTTCTCCTCCTATTTTTTGCCAAAGATATGAGCAGGGACAATTTTTCCAAAAGATCTTTTCAATAGCATTTGACAAAGTTTGGCAGAATAAGAAGCCCCTGGTGAGAAGGGAGTTTGAGGAGCTGAATTTTCTATGTGTGTCATCTCTTAAAGAAATAAAAATATTTAAAATCCCATTAAAGCAGCCTTTGGAGGCCTTGAAAATGTTACATTTTAAACCTCTAATACTGCATTTGTTATATTTCATGATACTGTTAATAATAATAACCAACATTCGTATATGATTCTATGGTTTTAGATCATGTTCCTTTAATCCCGGGTTTCTCAACCTTGGCACTATTGACATTTGATGACTACTGACATCAGTTCTTTGCTATGGGACTGTCCTGTGCATTATAGGTGTTTCCCAGCCTCCGTGGCCTCTACCCACTAGATAGCAGTAGCACCTTCGTAGTTGTGACAACCAAAATGACCCCAGACGTTGCCAAGTATTCTCTGGCAGGCAAATCGCCCCCAGTTGAGAGCCAGTGCTTTAATCCTTCCTCATCACCTTTTGCGGAGGTACATAGTATTTCCAAGGTCTTGCAGCTCTTAATTGGAATATGAAAGACTTGAAATCTAATCTTCCATCCGCTAGATTCTGGGCTTTTCTGCTACATGTGCTTTATCCAGTTGTCCAGCAGATGTTTATTCAGCATCTCCCTGGGGTCAGGAACCGGGGACACAGCAGGGAGCAGTCCCCTCTTCTCATGGGGCTCACACTCTGATGGAATGAGCTTATGACATTAAGGACGGGGT